TAAACTCATTCTCACTTGCGATTCAAATAAGATTGGAGGATCTGTCACTAGGGATTGTTCTGTTAGACTGGAAAGGGACAGTGTCCCCATGGTGTCAAGGCAGCTACTTCCCTGCAAAATGCCTCGTTTTTTACACTAGGAAAAAAAAGATGACTTTCTTTTTGAAAAACCACTTAATTACTTCGGTTTTCTAGATTATTCTACCTATGAGTGTGCGACTCTGGAGTCCTGCAATTGCCATTAGACTCATTCCTCCAGCAGGCTACATGCACTAATGAAGGGGAAAAAAAAACCCTAATTATAACTCTCTAAATAGCTGTTTATTAATGAGTCATCTTTTTCCTTTTAACCTTGTAAGCTGCTTTGCTGGTTGCATCAGGCGGAATACACATTTTGCTTTATAAAACATCAGAAATAAATCTTTAAAGAGGAGGAGGCAAAGTAACACCTTAAGTGCAATGTTGGTATGCAAATCACTTTACATATTTCAAAATCGCTCCATATAATTCTCAATCAGGAAAGAGAGTTACACAGTTTCATTTTCTTTGCACTGCTTTGCATCTAATGCCAGCATTTACTGAACATTGTTCTCTGGTTACCTATAGTATACTGAGCTACTAATCTGAAGTGCAACTGTATTTTCAATGTAAATTTTAAGTACAGTACAGAATTAGAGTTGTTCTTTCATCATAGGAAAATGGTCACTTATTTGTTCTTTCTGCCTAAGTGAGCCTAGATGCTAGAAGCAGGAGAAAAGAATGGAATGGATTTATTTCACTTTTTAATATTCTTTGGATTGTATTTTTGTATTTCCCATAGTTCATCAAGACATCAATTGTCCCCGAGTACAACCACAGACATAGAAACTGACATTTTGCCCTCCAAAGCTAATTTGGCAACTGCCAATTCCAATTCAGTTCTAAAATGAGTTCCAGGGGTCATGTTAAGGAGGTGGTTCACAGGAAGGGGGTGATTTTGAGAAGGTTAGCCCTGACCAAGAGCACACTAGGAGCTTGGGGACATGCTGAATCGGACATAATTCCCAACTCAGTTCTGCAGCTATTGCAACATCTAAGGACCTACTTCACCCAAGATCATTTAATGTGGACCAAATATTCCAAGATTTTAAAAAAAACCTGTAAGCTTTCAATTTTTTAACAATTAAATTATACTAAATGTAAAGCTATGGTGTACTTAATTCAAACATATTCTTATATTTTTACCTGGCTCTGTAACAATAAAGGTACAAAAATATAGTGTTTAAATTTGGGGCATAGAATAAAATTTCCTGTTCTACAATGATCCCTGTAAACTGGGATTTAGATACAAATGAGGCTGGCAATTGCTTAGGCCATGTTTATATCTGCTTTATTTTTATTTCCAGCAGCATACTGTCTTAGAATATCAATCTCTGTACATCTACTTTTCATACTTATATTTTGCAAACTTTCCCGAGTGAGTCAATGACATCTTCACTACCTCAAGGAGAATTACCACTGATTTAGTAGGAAGGCAAAAGAAAGAAATGTTTAGTGTTTACTATTTTGACTTCCAAGAGATGCTCAAAGTCCACATCAGAAATACTAGCTTTGACTAATTGCCCATAAGTAGATTAGTAGATTAAAACAAACAAACAACTGGTACATATATACATTGAAATACTACTCTTCTGCAATAGCATTTGATAGACCTGGAGAGTATTATACTAAGCTAAATAAGCCAGTCAGAGAAAGACAAGTACCATATGATTGCACATATATGTGAAATCTAATGAACAAAAGAAACTAATAAACAAAATAGAAACAGACTCATAAAGAGGATAGAATGATAGCTGTTGGGGGTGGAGGGGCGTTTGCCATTGGGGGCTGGGTGAAAAGGGTGAAGGGATTAAGCAAAACCAATAAATAAACAAAACAAAATTCATAGACACAGGCCACATTGTGGTGATTACCAGAGGGAAAGGGGCTGAGGGGAGGTCGAGGAGGGTATAAAGGGGATAAATGGTGATGGAAGGAGACTTGAATTTGAATGGTGAACACATAATGCAATATACAGGTGATGCATTATAAAATTGTACATCTGAAACGAATATAATTGTATTAATCAATGTCAGCACAATCGATTAAAAGAAAAAAATTTAGTGGTTTTCCTAAAGTTTGCAATTAACATTTATAAGTAATCCAAATTCATTTTCAATGAGTACTATACTACTGCATGTACTGTGTTTCCTATATTAACAAAGTAATTCTAATTTCTCCCTTTAATCCCTTATTCCATTGCTGTTATTTACAATATTTTAGTTATATATAAGCATACACAAGTATATCTATGCATATACATGTATATATATTTATATGCACGCACATATATGTATGTGCATATATATGCATATAGATGTATATGTGTGTATGTATATATTTAAGCATGCATAATGTGATACATTGTTGCTATGATTATTTTGAACAGATTTATCTGTTAGATCAATTAAATGCTATGGAGATACTAATTAAAATTTATCCATTGATATTTTAAGAATAATCATTGATTTACACAGATTTTCTAATGAAGGAAATACATGTGTAATACAGCTATGGGTACAGAGAAATCTGAAGATCAAACAGGTCAGTGTGGTGTACCATATTTTTGTAATTAAGCCATTCCATTACTGAATGTACACACTGGGTGGGTTAATGACTGTAATCTGTTTTGCTCATTAGTAAAAGGAAAATAGTTTAGGGAAAAACACAAATAGAAGAGACATATGCAAAATGACCCCACAATATTCTAAACTCCAGTAGATAACTAAAGATTGCTTTAACAACCTTGCCAATATTCACTATGTGAAGGAATCGTGATTTATAAAGTATTTTATGAAAATATACCCATTTCTCTCACATATATAGGACCAAAAAATGTCCTCCCTGATTCAAATGCCCAGTATTTCTCCCTCAGCCACAAACGAACAGACCCATTTGTATGATCAAACTATTTTATTTTTGGTGGGTTGAGAAAAGATTGTTTATATTCTGTAATCTAAGCATTGTCAGCAGTTTCAGGAGTCCCATTTTTGAGTTTTCATATATCTGTACATTTTTCAATCACCGTTGCTTCCTCCTGTCACTGCATTGCTTGAAGGATGTGAAGCATTACAGAAGCCTCAGTTAAGAATTAAATGGCACATACACTCCTTTCTCAAACCCTTTGGGGAGGAAGGGGAGGAAAAGCCTGGTGCAGGTAACTATTATAACTTTGCCCTTTATGGTTTTCTTTTAGAATATTTGTTAAAAATATTAAATTTTCATGTGCTCTGCAGAGCCTAGCCTGGTTTATAAGATGAAAAGAAAAGAAACAGTATTAACTGCTGCACTGCCAATGGATAGTCATTACCTGCCTGTGTGCATTAGAAGAATTCTTAGTCATTTGGGTTGCAACTGTCTTGAACTGTAATGTTCCAAGATGTACCCTTGCTGGGGTTTCCATGCCCATGTCCAAGGCCATAAAGATCACAAGCTTTATTTTGAGCCTGAAGTTAGCGCATGGAGCAGTGAACACATTAGAGAATATTTGTGCAGCCTGTTTGGCTCAAATCTCCTCTTTCTCTCCCTCTCTCCTTTTACTAGTATATTAAACAAACTGGTCTGCAAGATTATTTTACACAGCTAATATGCCTGAATAAATGCCTTCCAATTTTAAGGTGATTATTTAAAATTAAAAGTATCATTAAGAGTCATTCCAGTGTGGACTTCCTTTGAATAAAGTGGATTATAAAACAGCGGGATGTACATTGGGTAAGGAATTCAAATCCTTGCGAAGTGTGTATTGCTTTTCTGACATGGACACACAGCAGTCCTGGCTATGTTCTTCCAAGAGCTACCTGAACAAGCCCTTTTCATTGGTCACATCATCTTCAGGAAGGACTGCCTGCTTCCCAGAATGTGGAGGACCATGCACTACAGGATCATAGAAATGCCTCTGTCAAGTCAGATAAGCATCCTTGCAAATACTCAGAGCACTTTGAAAAACTCCTGTATGGCAGATTATAAATGTGTATTACTACTAACCCCATCACTCAATCCCCAAAATATATAGCTCTGCCAACGTAATTCCTGGTGACTTTATAGCTCAGATATTTTACCTTTAAAAGCAGGTTATCATCTCTGGGGTTTTAAAATGTCAATGTCTCTGCAGGGTCTTTCTGTTCTAAACAGGGATAGGTAGAAGAATATTTTGCCATCTGTCTTTTAAAGTTAATATTAAGAAATGCAGGTTTGCAACCTCTTAAGCATCTCAAGCCAGATATGCTACCTCCCTGAATGGATTATTTGACTTACCTTGTGTTAACTGCATTCCAAAGAAGAAGGATGTTTGTTTTAGAGATTTAAAAACTCCATCATTTCAATAGTAAAGGCATTTGTGTTAGAAATATAATTTGTCCACATGTTCAAAAACAAGAATACATATACCTACGAACAGCGCAAAATAAAAAAAACCTAATGAAAAAAGCAAGTATTATAAGTCTTTATAGACTATTTTTAGAATAAAGTGTTTAATTTTTAATCTAAATAATAAATTATATACCTCTGATAATAATTGTACTCAATTAAAACCCATTAATTGTTCAAATCATTTCATTGCTATTTGGCCCCAGTCAGGAAAATCTTTAGCAGAGCAATAAGCAAAGTAGGAGACTTAATCTTCAAGATTTTATCTCTAAAGAAATTTCTATTCTGCTTCAGAAACCCCTCATCAGTCAACATTTTAAAAGTCTACAGCAAGGTCACTATAATAATCAATATTTCACATTAGTTTTGCTTAAAAATAAAAATACATTTGTGACACACTAAAGCATATCTTCTATGGTAGAAATGCAGAGTTATATATGAGGACACCTTTCAATTTACCTTCATTCTAGGTGCATCTAAGTGCCAAGAGCAGGGCGAGACTCTGCCTTACTTAGGAAGAAACTTAGTAACACGTTATTGATGACTCAGGCAAATTACCTTTGAGAGGTCCCCAGCCTCCAAATAGAAGCAGATAACAAACACATTCCACGTAACCCAGAGGACTAGCCAGACAGCATACTGTGGAAAAGCAAGAGAGAAATACCATATAATTAATTTTGAATCAGCTGAATAAGATTTAAATAGAACTTGCACTTTTGTACGCAAATCATAAGATTAGTGGGGAATATTAGATATTGCTTCTTTCTAGGGAACAGGATAGGATGCATTGAACAGGATAGGATGCACATTTATCTCTGTTGATACTTGCTTAAGAATAATTTTTAAGAGTTAAGACAAAAGAAATACTAGCCCATGTTCTGTTTTAAAGGACAGTGATTATGACTTCTAGATATACAAAGAATTGGAAGCTCCAAAGAAATATTAAATAGAACCCATCAAAGGAAACTCATATATATATATATATATATATATATATATATATATATATATATATATATATATTTGGCAAAAATCAAACCATTATAATACAAATTTTCTCCAAATTATATGGGTTCGTCCACAAATAGTCCTTCTATTTCTGTCACATCTAATCAGCTTTCTCTTTCTGTGGTCTTCTTTTCATTTCCCTCTTTACCTTCTTATTTTTATTCTCTCACAATCTGCTGTTACAGTGATCATGTAGCTATTACCCTTAATTTTATTCTGTTTTCTATTTATTTTGTCTTCTTCCTTAAGGATTTTTATTTTATTTATTTATTTTTTTACAAAGACATAGTTCTGAGAAGTCAGTCAACTATAATTGTTTAAGCATCTAGAAAATAACATGCTAGAAAGATATTGAGGAATCAAAGACCAATGATAAATTCTCCTTGAAAGCAAGTCAAGTAGTGATGGTAGAATTATATGAAAATCATTAAATAATTTGAGTATAAGCAAGAAAGATGGGAGAAGTGCGAGCTTATTCTGAGAAAAACTAGTCCTATAAAGCTTAACATGAGAGGTGAAACACTTTCCATAAGAAGTGAATCAAACAAACATATAAACTTTACCTAAAATCGTGGGGAGTTGAAGGACTCTGGGGGAAGGGTGTCATAAACAAAGAAAACAGTGGATGGGAATTTTAAAAAGTGGGATGAGAGGATTTCAATTTCTCTGATAAGTAAACACCAATGGTTCCCATTATTTATATAATGAGTTCTAAAATCATTATTTTATCATTCAAGGACCTCCATAATCTTGTACCCTGTTATATTTTCCAGATGCATTTCATTTAATCTTTCATCATGGATTTCAAACATAGTGAATTACTTGCAATTCCATGTACATAGATAGTTATTTGCCACCTCTGTGCCTTTTTAAATGTTATTCTTTTATTCTCCAATACTTTTTTCTTTATCCTTTGGGTATTCCTCTTACCACCTATCAATATTTTATTTTTCTTTAAAGGTCAATTTAAATATTACCTCCCAAATGATATCTAATTGGTATTGGCTTAATCCTGCTTAGGGCTCTAGTAAGACCTTGCTTGTCCTAATTTCATTCCAAATGTCTTATATCAATTTGCATATGCTCCTTGAGAATATGGTTCATTTAAAATGTGTTTATGTCTTTAATTTGTTAACTTAGTGTTTTACACAAAATAAGCACTAATAAAATATTTTGTAAATTGATGGATGAGCAGCAATATGGAAAAAATCTTGGCATTTTCAGTTGTATAACCTCTTCTCCCCTCCTAGACCTGGTTTCGATGAGTGAACTCTGATCACTCATGTAGTGTGAAGACTAAGATCCCTATATGATGAGTGGATGTAACACATAAAAATGACTCAGCTGTTTTCCAAATGATGGGTTCATCAAACTGCTGGCTAGGTGCAATGTTAGTGACACTAAAGTAAGGGTGAAACTAAATGGTCTAAGAAAAAAAAATAAAAAAGAACTGGAGAGGCTGTTTAACTTGAGGGCTCAGGGCGAGAAATAGGCAAAGAAGCTGAGCTGTCTGCAGCAAAGATCTCAGTTCTAACAGACAGCTATGGAAACATCTAAGTTTGCTTAGTACTCGGAAGTGTAAATTCTCTCATTAAAAAAAACACACACAACTAAAATCTAAATTATTCAACTGCTTTGAAGATCTCAATTTTAGTTTTAGAAATATGGTGAAATGCTGGGTCCTATTTTAAGAGTAACGGGGTGAGAAAAAAATAAAAAGTGCCTTGGTTTAAGTGACTCAGAAAAAAATCAAAGAATGAACAAAGTTTTTCATCATGTCCTTTGCTCATGGTGACATCCTCTCCCTCCCTTACTAATAATGGTCAGTAAAATAAGCACTATCTTCAAACTTTACTTAGGATGCAAAACAAAAACACTTTCTACATAAACTTAGAACTTTCTTCCACTAATTGAATTTGCAGTCTAGACTTGTTTTCTTTGTTTCCCTAATGCAACATGTTCTTCTCTGGAGAATAAGTTTGCTTTTTTGAAACCTGCATGACAAAAGTGACAGATGGTATTTTATAAAGCAAACATTTCTCCTTTTGATTTCATTAAGTGGTAATTTGTTATTTCTAATTTGCCATGCTATAAAATTATAAAACATTTTTCTATATTGTATTTCGTGAGTTGCTCTTTTATAGTGTTAATTAGTAATGCTGTGTTCTTTTTTCTCTTCAAATCACACTATTTAAAATTACTGATTTTTAGAGAGAGAGAGAGAGAGAAATATTGATTGATGTTCCACTTATTTATGTATTCATTGGCTCCCTATTGTATGTGCCCTGATGAGGCATTGAATCCAAAACCTGAGCACATCAGAAAACTAACCAACTGAACTATCCAGCCAGCACTCTTGTTCTTTTTTTTTATTCCTTTCTGATCACAGTCATCCAAAAAGGTATTTTCATTTTATAAACCAGTTAGTTCACCTGCACTCTTTTTCACGAAAGGTTTATTACAGAATTGTTACCTTTAGTGATGTGGCAATTTTAATAAACAGAGGAACTCACATTGCTACAGAGGGTGACCTTTCATTTGCACCACCATCCAAAGGCAGGCCTTTATTTAATTTCCTTGTATCTCATTTATCTTAACTCATCAACTTTCTCTCATTTAACTTCTTAAACAATCTTCCTTCATTCTCCTCTTTTTTTTTTGAAAAAGAAAATTCTCTTTTGTGCTTACTTTCCTCATTTTAAGAACTGGCATTTATCTAAATCAAATCTCCCTTAACTGGATTTTACATAATTCTTTAATAGTGAAGATTGTGTGTTCCCTTGTCATTTGGCCAAAGAATGATTTTTGTCAATAAATCCTATGGTTCATACTGTTTAAAATATTACTCATCATAATTATTTAAGGGTGTAAAAATGTGTACTAACTTCTTCCCAGTTGCTACAGCGAGTTGATGTGATATAATTGACAATTGCTCAGTTTGAATGTAATTGAAAATGATGTACTGCCCAGGAGATGGCCTAACAAGATAAAGTCTCAAGCTTGCCAGATAGCACCTGACTTATAGTTTCTGCTACAATTTTTCTTTATCCTCATCTTTTCTGGCAAAAAAATCTTATATTTTATGTTTAAGGTACCAGTTATGAGATTATCTGTAATGATGGACAAATTCCATCAGGATAAAACTCATACTATAAGCTTTGGATTCTGCAGGTCTAAGAGGACCATTTGAGAGATGGATTTGACTTGAGTCTCCAGCTAAATAGTCAACATTATCAACTGAAGAAAAAAAAACACACACCGTAATTGAATCATCATGGGTTCCATATTGTATTTGGAGCTGTAATGATGAAATCTAATTAGCTGTGCATGATTAAAATTAGATAAGGCTGTCAATCATGATAGGCCAAAATACTGGCCAGATCCAGAGCCACAGTGATATTGCATATTGTGCTTCTATAATAACTAGGATGATAGTAATTCAGACAAAAGGCCAATAAACATTTGCCTGGAAAATAATGAATCACACCTTAAGAGCACTGCCAGTGTTTCTACTTCTTTCTCTTACAATAAAGCTTCCTAAAATGGAAGTCTATATATTTTTAAAAATTTTAAAGAATAGATGACATAGACAAAGCTGATGAACTTAACATCAGTTTTTCAGGTTTTCATATACAGACACAAATTTTCATTTTTATTTGAATTACATTCAATTCATAAATTAACTTGGGGGGAAACTCCAAACTCAATGGCATTGTATTAACAAAGTAATTTCTTGTGGGAAAATTCTGGTAAAAGGGAAGCTAACTTTTTTGTTTGTTTGTTTTGTTTTTTAAAAATATATATATTTTATTGTTTTTTTTACAGAGAGGAAGAGAGAGAAATAGAGAGAGAAACATCAATGAGAGTCATCGATCAGCTGCTCTTGCACGCCCCCTACTGGGGATGTGCCCACAACCAAGGTACATGCCCTTGACCGGAATTGAACCCAGGACCCTTCAGTCCTCAGGCTGACACTTTATCCACTTAGCCAAACCGGTTTCAGCAAGGGAAGCTAACATTTAAGACAAGTGATTTTTCCTATTTTTTTTCACTATTCACAATGATTCTAAAAGCAATTTCAGGGGGGAAAAACAAGTGATCTGAATCATTTTAGTGAATTATTCTTAAAAACAACCATAATTTAGAAAACCATTATTCAATCATATTACCATAATTATTAGAAAATGAAACACTGGCCACAGGATTCCATAAGTGCTTAATTAGAAAAGAGATGGGCCAGTGAATCACTTTACATTTATTAATCAACAGCAGGAAGCAAGTGACTATAACAGATGCTGCAGAAAAAACATTACAGGGTATACCTATTCCCTAAAATGATTTATATTAATCATTAATATGCAATCAATGCAATGTATTGAAATGTGTTCAGGTGTGATTTTTTAACTAGGGAGCAACATCGTTGATATACCTCTAATATAAAAAATAATGTAATCAGTTTTAATGAACTGTGATAGAAGCATTCCTAAGAAGCATTGGATTAGCAAACCATGTCTTAAAACAACTTCTTGAAGCAACAGTTTAAAGTGATTAACAATCAGGTGTTTTAATATTAACAATAGAGGTATTTTAATAGATATAAATGTATACCCATAAAACAAATATCCCTGGTT